CTACCGCACTTGGTTTGGCGGCTCATTCGGGCCTCCACTGGCTCTGGGCGCTTATAAATGAGAGATGTTTAACTAAGAGACACACTCGCACACTCGTACGCTCGCAGACGCCGCGGAAAAAGTAGCAGACTCGCAGAACGAACCCCACATGCAATGGCCGCATCAAGAGCGTGGGTCTAGACTCCAGATGGAGCTCTGATTGGAACCTGGTTAACTCCAGCTGGCTGGGTGTTGGTGTTGGGCACAGGGCTGGGCTGTGTGTGATGGGAAACTATACAAAGTTTTAAGTACATAACCTTATAGAGAGGAAAAGGCACCTGTGGCAGTGTATTTATTATTGTGAACACTTTAATTTGTGATGGAATAACAAGTGAAAGCCGTAGAACATGTAGCCCAAAACTAAGTGCCCCTTCAAGTCCAAATTAATCCAGACATGCAGGCCTAAGGTTGCATTTCCAAAATGGTGCCACAATTTTAAAACCAAATTGAAGCAGATAACCATTGCCATTCGCCCAATCCAGAATCTTAACTACCAAAGAGAGAGAAAGAGAGAAGATCCCTTTACATAATACAATTATATAATATAGCAATAAATTCCAGCAGCTTCGCATATAAATTAAAAGCATACAAAACAAAAGGGTTACGCTTGCAGTTACAGTTTGCGGGCCCCCAAAAAGATGTGGCAATGGCAATGGATTTCCATTGGGGGTAAAGCGAATGGCAGTGGGTTTGGGAATGGGGGGTGCTGTGGGTGCCACATAAGCCACAGCCACGCTGCATAACTCAAGGCGTCTGTGACATTTTTATGGCATCAAATATATATTTTATTCGTCGTGTGGTCAAAGCAGCAGAGGCGTAGCCAGCGATGACTGCCAGCAGACCCTTTTGCCTGTCAGTAAGGGTCTGCCCTTTAAGCTGAAATGGCATCCCTTTTGGATATTTTCAGCTACGCTCCTGATCGTAATATATTTTCTGGCACTTTTGGGCAATTTACATTCTGTTTCGGCCCATTCCTTTTTGGCCCCAAGCCTCCGAAACTCCGAACGCCCCCGCGCACCTCAATGCAATTAAAACAAAAGGAAAAAGGGCTACATTAATCCTTTTTACACAATATCCTGTATGGTGGGACCGCCAAGATGGATGGGCGCGGGTGCTGCTCGCGTTGGTGGGGAAGAGGATTGGACTGGGTTGGGTGAGACGGGGGCAGGAGTGCTGGGTTGCTGGGTTGGGCGGCCATTTTCTTTTGCCAGCTGCCATTTTTATGCTCGTTTTGTGTGCTTTTTATTGTCTCTTCTCTGGCTGTATTTTTTGTTGCTGCTTTTGCCACTGCTGTTGTTTGGCATTAAAAATGTTTTATGTTGTGTGCGATTTGAGCAACCTACTTTGCACATGCTCCCTGGGGGGTGGCGGTGAAGTGGGGTGGGGTGGGGATGGTGATGGGGCAATGGTGGTTGAGATCTCTGTGGGGTTTTATTTTGTTGAATATATATATTTTTCTATATGTATAAATTTAACAAGGATATGCGCTCGTTTGTTTGCGTAGAAAGGCTTAATTTGTACAGGACTTTACATACACAAATACACACACACGTACACACACACACACACATTTAACGACTCCCAAATCGCTTTTGTGTGATGTGTGTGTGTGTGTGGATTGTAGGTGTATGTGTGTTTGTTTGTGTGTGACTTTTGTCTTGGCTTTAACTGTTTTTATGGCGCATTGCGACTTTTTATGGCCTTGTCTTGCCAGATACACTGCCCCCTGAAAGCGATTACTTTGGCTTCAGCAATGAGTTTGGTCTGGCTAAGCAACATTTGGGGTTGGTGGGTGGTTAGTGAGAAGACATATTCAAATATTTTGAATATAGGTAGGCAGATTCGAGTCCCACAAAGTATTCTCCCTTATTAAAATGTTCCTTGAAACGAAGCTGATACGGAAAAAGAAAGATTGTAAACAATATTCTGCAGCTATTAAATCTGTATATAGCTTTGGAATTGTTTAGATTTAGACTCAGATTCGTAGGCATAAATTAGTTTCCAAAAAATATAATGTGAGAGTATTCAAACTTCACTTCGGCTGTCTCGTTTCGGCTTTGCCTATTCTAATGTGTAGCGCCTGCTGCCTAGGCCATGCCCCAAAAGGACCAAACAAAAAAAGCCCACGAAAAGTATAAAGGATAATAATAAAACGGAGCCTTATCGCTGATGCCGATGCTCCTGCTGATGGGGAATGCTGCTCTGGCTCTGGCTCTGCTCGCTGTTAGTCGTATAATAAAACAAATGGCAGTCAGCCCCATTTAATTGCTGGCCATAAATGTGTGTTGGCCTTTTGTACGGGACCTCGCATATCCTTTGGCGAGGATGCCACCGAAAGTGATCCACCCAGTCCCTCCAGTCACCCACCCATACTCCATGCGGTGCGTGTGTTACTTTTTATTATTATTAGTATTTAAATTTATTTGTTACTTTATGGCGTGCACGCTGATAAATCTGAGCAAGCTCGTTCTCCTTTTTAATGGCCCTGCCCATAAAAGGTAAGCCCCGCAAGAATGAGCGAAATTATACAATCAAAGCAAGTTAAAAGTCCATTTAGCATCACCGATATGACATAATTGAGGGTACACCGCTGCTCTCCGGCCAACCAAAAAAACACCAGCCAGCCACCATCCGAAGAAGCCAATTCCAATGCCAATGCTAAACCCAAACCCAATAAAAATCCCAGCATATGGAGTGACCATTTGAGGCGGCGATGTCCTGTGGCTTTTGTTTTTGTTCCTTACTTGACTGCAATGCAATTAATGCACAATTGCGCAATTGTTTTTAGGGTTTTGCCCCCCCTTGAAACAAGTTCCTCCAGTTGGAGGGTAAAGTTTCTTTTCGTAACATTTGGCACATTTGGTTTTATTACCCAATTGAGCAACTAATTTGTGGGGAGTTCAACAATGCAAAACAAGTCAATTTTCGGTTGAATAGCCCATCTCTGTGCTCCGAACCCTGACAATATATATCTCTTGTTTAACCCCTCTTGAAGTGCTGTGTCTAATGGGGAGTACAACCCTCGTACAGCCAGTTGAACCTCAGCTCATTAAATTGTGTCCCTGCATTTGTTGTGATATTTTTTAGTAGTTTTTGCTGTGTCGTGATTTCAATTTGATTTGTGCGATGATTAATTCATGCTGGGCATAAGCCACACCTACTCAAGACTACCCCCCATACTCCATACCCATTCCCAGTCCCATTCCAATTCCCATCCCGATTCCCATTCCCAATTCCCGATGATAAATGAACATTATTTTTCCGATCTCCGCCTGGCGCTGGCCACAAAATGTTGCCGTAGCCCGTGTGTCTGTGTGTGTGTGTGTTGATGCTTATCCGCGACATTCCTGCCGCCCAAAGTGTCATTGTTGTCGATCATTTTTATGTTGTGTGCCTCCGCAATTTGATTGACAAGCAAGCCAGTCGGAGTTGGAGTCGGAGTTGGAGTCGACTCCGCTCCGACTGACTGACTGACTGAGAGTTCATTTTACATGCAGCGATCATCTTTGGGCCTCTCGTGTTTTTATTTGTCTACCTTTTATGATGATCATCGCTCGTTTTATGGGGCCAGGACTGGGACTCGCCCCGAAAGAGTTTAACATAAAATGCACATTAATCATTTAATAGTCCGCATAATGAACTTAATTTTTTTTTTTTTTTTGTTTCCACGGCCTCAGTGACTGCCTCTCGGCTGCTTGCCAAAAACCAAAACTAAACGACGGAAACTTTGGCACTGCTCCGCTCGATTGGGATTGGGATCCCTGCTCGTCGTTTTCTTTTTTTTTTTTTTGGCTGTGGGCTGTGTGTGTTTGTCTGTGGCTTTGGCACCTAATCCTGGCGCACAACTATGCCGTTTGCATTGTTCCACGCACAATGGACACAAAGGACATGTTTGCACTGATTATCAGATTAGGCCATTGTACGTACAAATTGATATTGTCATGTTTCAAGTGCCAGTTCCCAGTGCCCAGTGCCCAATGTCCAATGGCCAAGCCAGAGGCAGTGCAGAACACATTGAATGCTGTCGCCAGTGCCGATTAAGAGATTTTTATTTTCGCACTCGCCGCACTGTGCCAGCCAGCCAACCAGCCAGTCCGAAACAATGGCCCAGTCGACGGGGCAGATTTGCAATATTTAGGCGAACTGAAACTGCAACTGCAAATTTGTTGGTTTCTTCTTTGGTTTCGGTTTTGACGGAACAATCGCCGGACAATGAGCCATGAGTGGTTTTAACGCTGCGGTCCTACCCCCTCCACTGCCTGGCCTAGTTTTTGGCTAGCCCTGGCTCTGGCCCTGCTGAACCGATCATTAGCATAAAGCCACAACGGCGACAGGCAATCGTCTCGGCCTCCGTCTGCTGCGTCTGTGCTCAGTCTGTGCTCAGTCTGTGCTGGGCGTTAGCCGAAAACCAATCCGAGCCGTGGAAGGATTAGCAGAAAATGTGCACATCATCATCGGTGCGGTCCGGTCCGGTCCGATCCGATCCTTTCTTTCTTCTCTGCTGATCTCGAGTTCTGTAGATTGCCGATCGGACAAGTGATCATATCGCAATCTCTGGCATTGATTCTGTGCCCCGGAAAATGGGCCCATATCAGATTTCCCTGGAAATCATTTGAACTATAATCGCTGGATTTTTGCCTATCAATGCAGCTGAATCGATGCGCATAGTTGGCGGATGGAGCGGAGGTGTTGGCGGCTGCTGTCTCTGATCTCCAGCTAGCCGAATTGTCTGCAGACTGCAGATCGGATGGCAGGCAGCGGGCAGATATGCTAATCTCTTGCCACGCACAATTGTGGGGATTCAGAAAATATCCAAAGTGTTTTTGCCACTTGGCCTGGATCTTGATTGCTTGGAATTCTGTGGGATTATATATCTGATAATACTGTATTGAAGCATAGGTGGAGATCATGCAGAGATTTACAAGATAACTTAAACAATCGTTTGGATTTCTGGTGATTAGGCGGGGGGGTATAGCAGACCCAAAATGGTATATGGAAAACTGCAAAATCTGCAGACTGATCGTACGATTCCTTTCCTGTTTTGGGGCCTGACTAATCTCGATCCACCACATGGGTAGTCACCTGGTAGATTCCTATGTTTTCTCCGTTCTTGAAGAAGTACGCAATGCCCTTCATGTAACCGCGTGGCATCAGGGAAGGCCACTTGGATGTGTTCAGAAGAATGTCCTTCAGATAAAATTTTCCCTTTGGCAGGGGACATGGCGGATTGTCAACGGGGAAATCGATGTTCACACCGACCTTGGCACTGTCCGCAAAGTAGGGCAGATACATCTTGAAGCCCTTGCAGGCGGGCGTCATGGGCATGGTGTAGGGCAGCTTCTTGTAGGTGCCAGTGCCCGCTGTATCGATGTATGCCTCAGCGTAGAACGAATACTGTTCATCGTCCATGCTTTCCAGTATGGTGAGTGATCCATTCATCTTGCGCTCTCGTCCAATGAAACGAATTTTGCTGACATTCAGTAGGACATTCACATCGCCCAGCGAGATGAAGGATATCCAACGGGCATCGTACGGCTTTATTAACAAAAGCATCTGCAGGATACACAGTTATAAGGATTATAAGTTTACAATTATCCTTGATTACCCGTGCTGATACTGATACGTTACATATGCATCGGCAAACAGCAGAATAACGAGGCACAAAATCCCCTGCGACATTGTTGCTCAACAAAGATTGCATTAGGAACTGAACGAATCGGTTGGGTTTATCATGTTTTATAGGTTTTAATGCAGGTTTATGCAATATCATTGAACAATAAACAAACTAACTTTAATTGCTTTGTTTTTCCGATGTTAAAATGTATTCATATCCGTACATCAAACATGGATAGAAACGTGTCAAGCAAATGCCTATCCCAACAGAGCTATCGTTATTAGTGGGTATTAGTAGTATATTATATTATTAGTATATATATATCTACATCATGTTTTTAACCATGATTGAAATTAAAGCACTTTGAAATATGCAATGCACTCGTAGAGCTTGCGGCTGATATCATTGAACATCTCTGAAGTTCAACCCACTAAAAGTAAATTAAAACGAACATAACGATCCGAGCCATTTGCCCCAACTTAAACTCTTTGGGCAACTGAAATCTGCACTACTTTTACAGCTTATCCCTTTGAATTGCTTGCGCCACTTGACTACATCGCTTGTGTAGATCGAAGATCGGTGCTGTCGGGCCACGATCGCTACATGATACCATCCCATGCCGTACCATCCCATACCCGGCAGGCGAAAACTGCCTTTCACAGCCCTTTGTTAGAGAGGGATGAGCTGCTAGGCGCCGGGTCATAACTCTTAGCGGCAGCTATTTGTACATTTCATATACGACTATACGGCTACATCCATAGATAGTTCTGGCAGGAGCGGGCAATAAAAATATTGGCCTGCCTTCGGCGCTGCGAGGACAAAGGAATTGCACCATAAAATGTATACACAATATGCACACAGCAGCCGAACGAAAGAACGGAACGGACACGGACACGAACACGAACACAAAAGCCATGCAGATCTCCATCCCCGGGCCCTTTGTCTCAGCAGTAAAATCTTCCAAAACTAGTGCAACACTTTTGGCTTATAGACAAAGCCAAAGCGAACCACAGGCCAGAAGCGGAGAGCACTGAGTGGAGAGTAGAGAGCCGGAGAGCCGGAGAGCAAGAGAGCAGGCCAGACCCAACCAGGCCCATTGTCTTCGCAGAAGTCGTTAGTGTGACAGGTTGGATTTGTTTTGTGTACGGTGCCTAAGTCTGTCATCATCATCAGCATAAGACTTGTCTGGCGCCAGCATTAGGGACAATATTTTCGACTAAATATTTCGTCACAGGCCTCTGGAAAAGGGCGATAGACAGAGATAGATAGATGGAGAGACGTAGACGCAGACTGAGACAGAGACAGAGACGGAGGCAGGCAGGGGTAAACGAGGGCGTAGGCGAAAGGGCCAAAGGAAACGAACTGCTCTGCGGGCGTTTATTTTGGTAGATTTCTATTTGGCCCTGTCCATGGCCCTGAACCCTAGCCTGGCTGCAGTTACATTGATGATTTATGCACTGGCTAGGGTTACAGGTGCAGCCGCATCGCAGGACTACAGGTACGTCCAGCGAATGAACAATTTTGTTGTTTCGATTCAGTCCAATAGGAATTATAGTTATTACCACTCACGATCCAATACTTCAGTTGTAATATCTTAGATTACAACAAGCAATCTTAGGGATGGGAAATGTTGTAGAATTTATTGGATACTCGGCACTGGCGTCCATGTACTGTTTGTAATACTTATACGCCATGAGGAGTAGCGTCAAGTGTGTGAAAGGTTTTCAGTGGTGTTTATTTAGGTCTCTCCGGAGAAAGTATAAACCTCGTAGGTCAGGCCCTCGTTGAGAACTTTCACTCTGCCCCAACAAATATTTTCACCTCATACGACTTGGGTAATGGCATCTAAAGAAGAGATGGCAAAGCTATATGTTGTATTCAAGTGTATCTAAATACGAGTATAGTTGATCAATTTCAAAGCTAATAATAGCCAACCCAATAACTTCCAGAACTTTGTAAAACTCCAAAGTCTCCAATATTGCTCAAATTTATTAATTAAAAAAGCTTTCTATGTGGCGGGAGGACGATGCATTGCTGTAAATAAAATTCACATACGCTGTGCATATGATCTAAGTGTCCTGGCATCCTGGCAGCCATGCCTTGGCATGTGCCACGGGCTCGAAGTTGCAACATATTGGCGCACTTGAAGGGCCCGTGCCAGGGCACGCGCTTCGTGCCGTACTTGAACCCCGTACACCAAGTGGTGGTATAGGTCCTGATCCCGCTCCTTCTACGGTTCCTACTGCTGCTGCTGCCCGCTGCTGCTGCTCCTTAGTGAACCTCCTACCGGGTGGTCTGCGATGTAAAAAGTTTTCAACAATTGGGGGGATTTTTTTGTACCAAAGAAGTCGCACGCTCTCTATTGGAATTTCCACAATGGGAACACTTGAGATACTTTTTTCATCCTCCACCCCTTTTCCGTTTTCCTCAGTCGAGGGGGTGGCTGGCTGGCAGGCAGTGGGTTTTGGTGGGGTGGAGAACAATGGTTCAAGTGCTGCTTGCAAAACAAAAAGCGTTTTAAGTTTTAATTACGCCAGACACAAAAGGCCGAGAGAATGAACTGGAGACCGAGCAGCAGCAGCAGCAGCAAGAGCCATAGGAGGAGGAGGCGGAGGTTGCTCCGGGAAAAAAGGAGCAGAAGCAGCCACGACACATGGTGGTCTGTTCAAGTGGAAATCGCAGCAAAGGGGAAGGGCTGGGCTGAGCTATACAGGGACTAGTATAATGACAGTGGAACTAATATTCGATCGCTGAAACACAGGTACTACCTGGCACCTTGCATGGGGCCTATCGGCTGCCAAATCTGAAAGTATTTCCCAACCCAGTCCGAATCAATTTCAAGCTAAGAGCCCCCAAACTTACTTTGCTCTCTTTTTCAAGCGGGGTGGTTGGGGTGCCATCAGCAACTATCTATCAAATACAGGCAGCCATAGCTTGTCAGTGATTAGATTCCCAAACTCGCTTTTAACAATGCTAGAAAAAGGCAACAAAGAAAATTATAGGCAACACTTCCATCGGAATGTCTGTGTAGTCGACAAGGCAGTACCTTGGAAGCAGAAAGAAAAAAGAAACGATGTTTTATTTTGTGTACTAAATGGCAGGAGCGAGATTAGCAGAGGCCAAAAGAGACGATGCTATTTGCAGTCTTCTAACTATAATTACTGCTGATACTGCCCGCCCACAGATGCTGCAAACTTCTGACTGGCAACATCTGCTCACCTTGCAATAGAGAAAGAGTTCTTACCACTTCAAGTGGTACATACAACTCATATATCTTACATATATTGTAATCCCATAGTCAGTCAAAAATACTCATATGAGTTATCTTGAATTGATTTGCTTCATTTCCTAAACCTCTTGATGGCTTGATCTGAATTATAGTACTAGAACTATGTATACCTCCTAATCCGGTAAGTAAGTGGTATATAAAATTGCTCAATTGCTCAACTGATTAGACTTTGTTTTCAATTTGTCTTTCAGCCTTTCAATTCGTGCAGCGCTGGAGGGAGGCGAAGTGGTGCCACAACGAAGACAACCTGACAGACACGACGAGAGACGGGGGGCGGGTGGGACGTGGGGCGACTATGAGTGTGCTTCTGGGGCAGAGTTTTTAATCAAAATTGTACAGGAAATCAAAAATCAGTTTTCAAAAATAAAAATCACAGTTTCTTATCGTGATGTTGATTTGTTGTTGTCTTTTGATGGCTCTCCCTCCGTTTTTTGGTGGTTGTTGTTTTTTGTTTTGTTTTTGTGTTTTTTTTTTTTTTGAGGTAGCGTTTTACCCCAATTGTTGGGGGCCCTTGGCGTGTAATTTGAGGCGAACGCTGAACGCTGAACGCAGAACGCTGAAAGCAAACGCAGTAGCTATGAAATCAATTATGCGATAAAGATTTGACAGCACAACGCACTGGAGCTGCTGCTGCCTGCTGGCAGTCGATAATTAATTTTAACGCCTTATCGCAATTGAAGGTGCGCCCCTCCGGTGCGTTCCATACCCGAGATAGTTGCTCGCCGATAGCCCGATTTGATTGAAGTCTGTCTAAAGACGTTTTTCTTTCTTTAGTTCTTTTTTTTTTTTGGTGGGTGCCCTGTCTGGGTCTCTCTGCTTTAATCTGTGACACAATTGGTAAAAATTATGAGTGTGTGCCTATGAATTTATTAAGCCCAGAGTGGGAATGGAAATGGGCATGGGGATGGGGATGTGTATGTGGTTGGTAAGTGGAATGGGAAGAGCTCGAGAGATGGAGATGGAGATGCTTTCCCATGATATGCAAACGAACTCAATTATTTATTTTATCACAAATGATTTTGCTTATCAAATCTAGCAATCGCTTTTTTGGTTCTCTCTCTCTCAGCAGAACAGTAGACAGAGGAGTATACGGGGAAGAAGGTAGATTTTGGACCTTTCTCAGACCTCAACTCAACTCAACTCTCATCTCATCTCATCTCTTGTGTGTTTTATTTGATGCTCTGTGGCCTGGAGTTCTTTCTGCCTCTTGAGTTTTTCTTACAATTGCTGCTGGGTCTCGGTCTCTGTCTCGGTCGCCGTCTCCGTCTCTGTCCTGATTGAGGCCGCCATTATTCAAGGAGCCAAACGCTGCAATGCCATGCCTTCTCTTTCCCTCTCGTTCCTGAGTCTGAGTCGCATCTTTTTGTCGCGTATCTTTGCCTTGAAATCTCCACAGTTCATGTCAAATTTCTTGTGTTTTTATACATCATTCCCTTTGGCTTTGGCTTCGGCTTCAGCTTCAGATTCTTGCTGCTTTCCTTGTAAGTATGTAAATGCGGACAGACTGCAGCTGCATTTTGCATGCCCCAGCCCCTGCTCCATGCCCCATGGCCCTGTCCCCTGCCCCATACTCTGGCTAGCTTTGAGTGATTGTCAGTGGTTTATCTTTTGATGGGGCATAGCTTCTGTTGCCACAGATCTGTTCGTAAATGTATATATGTATGTATGTATCCGAGTAGCCGAGGCTTGTTAATTAAGTTTCAAGCAGGTTCCGTCTGGGCGTTGCTCGGAACTCAATTTTTAGCACCTATTGACATGCAAAGGACCCGCATGCCCACACACTCACACAGACAGAG